TTAAGTCACCCCTCCCTTTCCTGCAATATGGAACCCAGTGGCTGATTCCTGAGTGTTGATGAGGCCTATTAAAAGGTCCAAGAACTCCATCAATCTCACTTCCTGAAAATGAGTTCTCCAGCTAAAGGCATGACCTGTTTAGAAGTTTTTAAGATACAATAATGATTGAATGTCAGCAGGGTAGAATGAGTAATGACGGCTTTGATATTTATCCCTACTTAGTCTGAAATGGCTGAGGGTGGGAGGGTGGCACTTCTGTGCTGGTGTTTCAGTATGCAGCCGCTTTACAGGCTGCGAAGTGCTCTCGTCCACTTGAAAACGCATTAGAGATTAGGCCTGCCTTTGTCTGCTCTGAAACCTGTGAAGAATGCAACATTTTTTTTCCTTTTGTGATCTGAGATTTTTCTTTTGATCTCTTCTTCTCAACTTCTTAGCAGCTATCCAAACTGTAGACTTTCAAGGAACAATAGGGTATTTTCACCTGGCGTGAAACGGATCTAATTATTTTCACAAACAGAGCAAGCTGTCATTCATGTATTGGATAGGTGTTTGGGATTCTCTCCCCGCCCCTTATAGTGAATTCACCCATTTGCTCACTAATTGGGGACAGAACATTTCAATTTTTTATAGGCTGTTTAAAGGGCCCAGAGATCTTCCACAAGAGACTGTCTTGATTTCACAGCTAGGAGAAGAACTAATGATTATGGCTTCCTTGTGAGCCCTGCAGGCACAGAGTCTGCGTGTGGTCAACACACTTTTCTCTGTTTTCAAATCTGCTCTCTTTTTCATGTCACAATTGTGTGCAAAAGGAATGATCTACATTGGGGCCAGAGCCAGTGTTTATGGTAGTCGGAGGATTCTGGGACTCCTCACTCTGTAATCCATAACTGAAGACCCATCCACAGTTACCAGGTGCCGCTTTATGTCCAGATAACTATTTGGTATATTTCAAGGGGAATTCATTCTTTACTATCTCTGTACTTGTTAGAAATAATAGCTGGGTTATGTCTGATCTGGGACCATTGTTTTTAAACCTTCCCTCCCTGTTTCTGAAACAAATTCATGCATGCACATCTGAAGCTGCAGTTTCCTGTCTTAGAGAGCAAACCAAAACTTGGAATCTACCTCTAAAGAAAATTTGTTTGTGTCATTTCATTTCATTTTGTTTTATTTCTATACCACCCATCTGGCCGAAGACCACTCTGAATATAATAACATGCTCATGCCATCCATCACTGAGCAGTGATAGGATAATGTTCTTGCACGGATTGCTCAGTCCTGGATGTCTTTAGCGTCCTGTTTTAATTCTTCAAAGTAATTTTTCATGCTCTAGTGCCATGGTTCCCATCCTTGGGAACCTCAGTTGTTCCTGGGCTTCAGCTCCCAGAAGCCTTCTCCATTAACTGCTGCCCATAGTTTCTGGGGGTTGCAGTTCAAGAATACCAAGTTACCCAAGATTCGAAACCACTGCTCTGGTGAAAACTGACATATATTTTCCCCAATATATATAATAACAGTTGCAAGATAAGAGGGACCAAGAAGAGTTCAAGACATTTTGCTACCTGATGCAAGCAATAAGATGGCATTCTCTTCCCATTTCACATATATAGGATTATCAGGCCAGCACTTTTGACTCTTACTTCACTAATAACAAGATAACATCCTCTCCTGCACTAGCCACATGATATGTACAGCTTTGTTCTCCAACAGTGTAGGATGACTCAAAAACTCAGGAGGGACAATTGGGGATAGTTCGACTCTCTTCCAGCATCTCCTACTTGAGGCTATTGCTTCACTTTGCCTAATCAAAAGGTTAGCCATTAAAGGACAAAAAGGGGTAGTGAGGTTGCAACCATATGGACATTTCTGCTGCTGTTTGTCCCATGTGCCTCAAGGATCATTTTGATATTTTCTCCAGTGACCAGACATTATTATCAAATCCATGCAAATTCAGTCTTTTTGCATGAGTATCCACTACATTTTGTTCAGCTGGAGTATTTCACCTCTTCCTCCCCCCTCTTTGTATTATGTGAATGTTTTTTTCCACTCTTTTGGGAATATTGATAGGTGTATACTGTATTGAGAACATACATCAAGATATTTACAGCATAGTGGCATGTGTGAGTGGGTACTTTTGCTCCTTTTAATTTTTGTGTTCAGAATCCACAACAATTCTCACACAAGATTAGTTGATGGTTTTAAGTGACATGATAGCTCTGGTTGTAATATAAACAAGTTATACACTATACTGATATATTGCTATGCCATTTCGGTGCTATACCAGTTTTAAATTTTTTTCAGAAAGTACTTTCAAATCAATAGTTATATGCAAGGGAAACATGTGAACACCTACAAAAATTGTTGTTGTAGATTTTTCTGGACAACACCAGCAATCATTATGTTAGACTGCACAGGTTGAAATCCACAAACCCCAGCAGAGCTTCAACAAAAAAGAAGGAAGTCTAAAATTCAACAAAGCCTGGCTCCCAACACTGAAAAATACAGCCTGCAAAATGTCAATGAACTGTACCCAGCCACAGGGACTGGTGATCACTGCACACAAAAGACCAGTTAACAACACCCATCAATCACAGTGACAGATCATCTCTCCCCCTTTTCACAACAATACACCCCAACAAAAAGACACTGATCATCATAATCACCCAGTCTCCTAAAAAGGACAAAAGCTGATCCCACAGCTATAAATATTCAACTATCCCACAAAACTGTGTCCAGAGCATAGACAGAATTCTGACTCCTGTACTCTGAAGATGCCAGCCACATCTTCAGAGGACAGTTAGGTGAAATGTTAGGAAGAAAAACCCTCAGAACATGGCTAAAGAGCCCAAAAAACCTACAACAACCATCGGATCCTGGCTGTGAAAGCCTTCGAGAATACATTTACAAAAAACTCTTTGGGTCAAGTATTCAAAAACTTTTCTGGTTGATTATAAACTGGATTTGCACTATACTGATGTACTCTTTGATAATGAATTAATAGGAACATGCAACAAAAGCATGTACAGCAAAACAGTTCAAATCCATGTCTTCACACTGTGTCATTTTGACTCACTTATGTGCTAAGGCAGACAGTGGATGGGCAGGAACAAGATATAAAAAGGAGCAAAAAGAGCAGAGAACAGAGTGGTAATATTGTCAGAGGAGGAGGATGGGTGTGGTGGAGATACAGGAGAAATTTCGCTAACATAATGGCTTGAGCAGCTCAAATGCAATCTCTAGGGCTTTAAAAATCTGGATGTGAATCCTACAATTGGTATGGTCTGCAGCTATATGGCACACAGAGTATATGTCAATGCAGAACAGTCACCATGTCTGATGGCATCCTAAGTAACCATGTTTATGGTCCCAATCAAACCTGGAAAGAAAGCACATGTTTGGTACTTTTGACTTGCTGGCTAGAATATTCGAGGAGTTGTAGTACATTTTTTCCCCAAGCTCTGAGCACATCAGCATAATACTTGGTTCCAGTCCAGGACTAGATAAAACAATGTTAATATTTGCTTTTGTTCGATTTAAAATTCCCTTGCAATACAGGTAAGATCTCAGATGAGTGCTTGGTAGATTATAAGATGCAGCAGCTGGCAGTAGAAAGTGGATTGAATGTGTTGAAGATGTAGGTTCTTGTAATTCAGCCTCTCTCTATGCATCTGTTCTGAGAGCCTAAATGGGATTTCATATCCTTCCTGCTGGCACTTATATGCAACGTGCATATTTGAAAATATGGATATTATAAACGTACCACAAGTGATTCTTCAGCCAAAAAGAACTTAAGCCTTATAAGAGGGCTCCTTGAATTCCTCACTGCTCAGGGGAACAGAAGGCATGTACCAATATTAAAGTCAACACCACTCTCCTGCATCTAAAAGAGCAATTAGCCAATTAGTTGATGTGTAAGCCAAAAGTTTACTGTTGTAATGGACTGTAGTTGATATATATATAAAGGTATACTAACATCTTATGACTTCTTTTGTATTGCAAATGGCCAAAACCCTATTGCATATTTATGCTCATAGAAGCAATGTGGAAGTTGCCATGGCTAATTAGCACAAACTAAGTGCATACCAGATGACTGCTGTGTCCACAACGAGCTACATATGAAACTGGCGCTTCTTCCTCGTGGCCTCTGTGAATGCACACAATTGGGTTGTTCTGTGCCTTCGCTGAAACTTTCAGAAGTTTATAGAGCTTAAAGACACATGTGGGATGTTCCCTCGTGGAGCGCGTGCTCCGCCTGCCACTGATCCCCTCAGTTTCTTTTTTCCGCTGTGTTGGCTAGACCTGTTTCAGAGAACTAGAGCGATCTATTGAATTAATACTTTTTACTGAATCATCGTTTATTTTCTTCAAATTCCCTTTCCATTGTCTTTCTTTATTTTACGTTTCTCCTGAGAGTTTCTTCCAGGTTTTTTCTCTGTTCACGTTTGCCGATCCCATCCCCCCACGACCATTTTTTCCCCTTTCCTTCCTCCCCCACTCTTTTATGCCCCCCAGGCCTTTCAAGCACTGCATTCTGTGTGGAAATAAAATCCCGCTCACTGATGGCCACAACTGTGGCCTTTTCTGTCTTGGAGAACAACATCCAATACACTCTTGCTCCGAGTGCAGAAGGCTAACTAAACCAGCGCTAAAACTGCATTTGCAGAATCTGAGATCTTACCTCTGGGAGAAATCTCTGAACCCACCTCCATTCGCTATGGAGTCTGCACAATCTCCAAACCCTCAACCTGATCAGCAAAATCCCCCCCATGCTCATTTCTAGCCCAGCAACTCCTTCTCCTCACCATAAGAAGTCCGCTTTGAAATCGAAATCAGTGTTGACGATGAAGACTATTATCCGCAATCATCTCAACACCAGTTTTGAGATGATAGAAGAAGTAGATACTACCAATATGACCCATATCTACCTGATGATCCTCTAGAACCCTATGATGAGCCTAAAAGGGTCCAATATACTTTACCGTATCCACCCTGATACTCACCTTCACTCTCTCCATCTCCTCCTCAACGTCGACTCCGGTCTCAACATTCGCTATCAACTCATGCAACCCTTCCGGCTAAACCAGCCCTGAAATGCCCTTCATTGACTGTAGAACATTCTCAATCAAAGCGTTCTAAGCATTCTTCCAAACACCTTCTCCAGGCATCACTGCAGGTTATTACCACTTAAAAGGGTCCTCCTCCTCCTCCTCCCGACATGGAGAGATATTCCAAACAGATGCTTCCCACAACACAGCCTCCCTCCCCCACACAAATATTGCTGTCAAAACCTTGCCACCAATCTCCTTCCTCGGGTTCATCTCCACCGATTCAGGACTTTGCCTCTGACATATCACAGGAATCACCATGTAATTTACCGACACCTACCCTCTCCATCAAAAGACTTCACTTCTTACTCTCAACTAGTCATGAAAATGGCTCAATCTTTACAACTTGAAATTGAGGAACCACTACCACCTGAATATGACTTGGTGTTCGACAGTATTAATCAAGATAAAACACCTCCTCTCAGTCTGGCATTCACTCCGGCGATGCTTCATTTTTCCGGCACGTCCTCAGCCTCAGAAATCTCAATAACTTCATCCAACCTAGACACTTCAGAATGTTGACACTAGACACTATCATTCCTCTCCTTTCAGAGGGAGATTGGTTTGTTGTCATTGATCTCCAAGACGTGTACGTTCACATCTCTATTCACCCGAATCACCACAAATTCCTTCAATTCCGATTCAATGATATCACATACCAGTTCTGTTCACTCTTATTTGGGCTTTCCACAGCACCAAGGACTTTTACCAAATACATGGCACCAGTCACTGCCTACCTTTGACTCCAAGGTACCAATATATTCCCTTATATGGATGACTGGTTGATAATCTCAGCCTCATATCATGATGCCATCAGAGCCACACAACTTACTCTCGATACTCTCTGAGATCTCGTTCTCAAGGTGAATCTTGCCAAGTCACATCTCGAGCCATCTCAAGATGCAGTTTGGAGTGCTGCTTCTGTTGATGCTACCTGCCATTAGCACTGCTGAGAGCTAATAAAAGAGGGTAGGGCCTACCAAAAAGGTGTCCTTTTTTCATGGAGTAGTCTCCCATCTGATGACAGGTCTCTTTCTGAAGGGTGTCCTCTGTTTGAAGGGCTGTCCAATCCTAATATGATTTAAAGATAAAGAAACGAAAGGAGGGACCTTGGACTTGCCCATTCACTGTGAGCTTCTGAACAGCTAACTCACTGGAATTTTGTTTATATTATAAAAATCACTTCTAGCTTTGCCTCTGTAACTGTACATTGACATATGGAATTTTATTCAATTCAGTGTCTACTTTTGTCCTCCTTTGTGGTGATAAAAGTATCCACCCTTCTGAAATGTGGATGTCATCCTGTCAAGCGATTTGGTGGGTTGTCTCCATACAGCTTCAAAACATATATGGTCTGCAGTGGTATGGAAAAATACTGCGTAACAGTGGCCAGTTATCATGGCAAAGAGCCTCCGCGGTACAAGGATTAATTTGAAATCTGTTTGCTCATACTGGTCTTTTATTATACAGCAGGGTTCTGCACTTCTCACCTTGGAATTGATATTTTATATCCGGGCATTAAATTAGAGAACAGAACTATTAACATCAGCCATCATTTCAAGAATGCCTCTAGTTCTTCATTTAGAAAACAGCAAGGTGCCGTAAGTAGATTTTACACAATCCAGACAACCACTTGGAAGTTTTGGCACGGCTTTTGACACTATCTGTGTGTCTAGAAAAGATAAGTCTTATTGCATTCTTTTCCAAGAGGCAGTGTTATTAAAAATAGACTAAACAAGTCACAGGATACCTTATCAGAGTTCTTATAGCTTTTGTTTTTAGCATACCAACTTAAAAATAGTGACCTTTCTACATAAGCAGTGATGATATTTTTTTATTTGTTCCCACATGTAATAAATAAACATATCATTCTAGTAGGAATTATTTCTAAGTTAATGTGTTTACTTAATTTATACTCTACCTTTCCACAAAAAGGCACCCAAGGTCAAATGCTGGGAACTATGAGCAATGACTGGAATACAATCAGACTGAAAACTACCGGTTGAATAATGCTTGACAGGATAATATTTGAATGATTACACTGAAAGATAAACAACTTTTTTCTTGAACTTGAGGAAAACTTTTCCACAGAAATGCTATGTAAGTGCTAGATACACCTTCCAATTGTGGTTATTTCTTAAAAACCTAGATTTTCTTATTGTATTGTATTCAATATTCTGTTGAGACTAAGTCGAATAGCTTTGCTAATATACATTGCACTGAAGATTATAGGTCCCGTGTTAGAGGTGGCTAACTGAGCAATTATTGTGTTCTCTTTCTTTCATAAAAGTGGAACCTATTCAGCTTTCCAGAACTCAGAAGGAATCTTTTCACACATTAAAAGCTGTCATTTTGAGGAAATGCAAATATATAAAAGTACAGATTGACTACAGTTGTTGACACCCTATCTTTGCCATCTTCTTCTACTGCCTGAAATGGATAGAATTATAAGAAAAATTGGTTCATATTGAAGCCAGTAAATTACGGTATGTCTGCATGTTTTTAAAATATACTATAATAGTAGTAGTGGTAATTATTTTCTCTTCTTTGTCTTCATCATTGTCTCTTTTACTATCATTTCATCACACATCATTGTTTAGGAAAGCTGTTCCAAGTTACAGATGGTTTTGCTATAGTGTTGATCCCTAGGGTTGCCAGGATAGCAGAGTCTCACTCCCTGAGATTTCAGGGTCAAAATCAGATACTAGGAAGTGGACCCATGTAATGTCACAAGAATTAAACCTGATGTCACAGTACTGGGCAGGCAGAGACAATGCAGAGGAGTAAAGATATTTTTGGAATAACTGTTGAAATAGGCTCAAGAAGAATTTGAGCAAATGGGTACAGAATCTGGATGAAATCTATCTCATCACATAATATGGGAACATGGGAGCTGGAATCCCCATTTTCTGTGGTTGGTGGGCTTTAAAACTTTAAAAGGACATCTAAATAAATTTTTTTCCAGTACTGCTTGAATTGAGATTCTTGACCGTACCTAGATGCCCAAGGAAGAATAGACATTCCCTAAGACTTCAGTCGGTTCCCTGGGACATGGCAATCCTACCTCCTCTTCAAAACATGACATCACTGTGTTCTCTTTGTGCTACCAGACAGAGGTCCTCTAGAGCTATCAATAAAAAAAGGTGTTCAATTTTTCCATCTTTATTCAAATCAGTGTCTTCTTTCATCCTTCTTTGTGGTGATAGAAGTATCCACTTTTTTAAAAGTGTGTGGGATTTTAGAAAGTGGTGGGAAATAATTGGAAGAGGGGAACATGGAAAATGACAGCCCCAATAAAATCTAAGCAGATCAGTTGTGCAATAAAATCCACTAATTCACAAAGTGACATGACACACACACACACAAAAATCCCAGAAGATGACTCCCTTTTTGCATCAGTTAACCACTTCTCACCCAGATACAAAGCAATTGTCAGGGCTGTTTTTCAACAAGTGTGAATGGTATTGAGTAGAGGAGGGTATCCTGTAGACCATCTTGACTGCTGCCATTGGAGTTGTCAAGATGAGCACGTGATCCGTACTATGGTTACTGGTAGAAAACAAGAAGAAATAACAGCTATGATGTACCTGTAGTCCCTCTGTGCCAAAATAGTTTGAAGAGCTGTTTGGGGATTAATAAAATGATGAAGCAAAGGTGTGAGCACAATGGAGAAACATGCACACCCTTTAACCTGTCAGGTAAACTAATGTTGCCATGCCCACTTTGCAGAATGAAGACTAAAAAGCTATGTTCCAATTTCCAAACCTTCTGCTCTCAGTGTTTATGTTTACAACAGTCATGCTTATAACTAGTTTATTAAAAAGCCAGAAACTCAGAGGTTCCTCCCTCTCAAATGGCTTTTTTCAAAATCAGTATTACCCCCACCCCCATTACCTGGATTCCTTCCAAATTTTAAAAAAATTAACCATTTTTAAACCATTTTTTTCAAGATATGCAAGTTTGGTCTTTTCATTCAAGCATGGAACCCCTAAGACTGTTTGAACAGGAAAGAGTTAAAAAGTTAGCTAAGGTTCAGCTAATTTTCTTTGAAGATAAACAAATTTGTCTTTTCAATTTTTTATGATCTATTTCCACCTATTTGGCACTGGCTAGGCCTCACCTTGAGTATTGTGTCCAGTTCTGGACACCAGACGTCAAGATGGACACCAACAAGTTGCAGCAAGTTTAGAGGAGGGCAACGAGGATGATCAGGGGGCTGGAAACCAAGCCTTATGAGGAAAAATTTAAAGAACTCTGTGTGTTTAGCCTTGAGAAAAAAAGACTGAGGGCAGATATGATAGCTTTTTTCAAATACTTGAAATATAGAGAAGGAGCAGGATCTGTTGTCAGTCATCCTACAGTGCAGGGCATGCAACAATGGGCTCAAGTTACAGGAAACCAGAGTTCAGTTGAATATCAGGAAAAAAAAATTCTAACTGTTAGAGCAGTGGAACCAATTACCTTGAGAAGTGGTGAGTGCGCCAATACTGGAGGCATTCAAGAGAGACAACCACCTGGCAGATATTCTTTGATTTGTATTCCTGCATTGAGCAGGGGGTTGGATTCAATGGCCTTATAGACCCCTTCCAACTTCATGATTCTATTATTTTAAATCTGGAATCATTTAGGGCCATCTATTTCTGAACAGGGGATAAAGCATTTGTACATTTAAAAATCATGACTTGAAACCCTTTTGTCCAAATGTCCCCAGATTTAGCACAAAGCAAGAAAAGACTGTCTGCGACAACTGAGCAGAATTTGACTGTGTCTTCCTTTATATCTATTCATTCCTTTATGTGCATTCATTGTAGTTGTTTAGTCATTTAGTCATGTCCTACTCTTTGTGACCCCATGGACCAGAGCACGCCAGGCCCTCCTGTCTTCCACTGCCTCCCAGAATTGGGTCAGATTCATGTTGGTAGCTTCGGTGACACTGTCCATTCATACAAACATCTTATTCCTGTTGGAGTTTAGAAATATTATCTGAAGAATCTTCTGATTCTTCCACTGTGTCCATTGTTAATCTAGGTCATGAATGATACCCAAGGAGAAAACAAGAGAAAAACTTCCCCTGAAGTTCTCTGATCCTTCTATTATCTACCAAGCAACACCCATATTGGTTTATTTTTTACAAGCCTTTCTTTTCTACCAGAGTTTTTCCCCCAAATACATTTTCCACTGGAATTTCTTACCAAGCATTTTCAAATAGCATGTTGAACAGATATAACTGAGCAGTTATAGTATGTAAACAAGGGCTCTATGCTGTTCAAAAATAGCTAAATGGGTAGATATCTTGGAATCAAACACTTAACCTGCTGCCTTTCTTTTTTCAAGTGTTAGTAGGCTCAGCACTGGCAGGCTCTTTGGAGCCTTGTTAGTACTCCTGCCTCTAGTCAACTTGATGCAACATGCAGTATTCCCATGCCAAGAAGAGTGCACATTTAGACTGTGCAGAAAGCAAAGGTATTTGAAGATGTTGGTCAAATACATAACTTGATAAGCAATTCAAAAGCATGTTAACTGGTCTTACTGTATGGTTATTGTATATTCTGCAACAGTTTGAGACAGGTACCAATCATCTCTGGAGTGGCGAACAGTGTCCAGATGCTTATTCTTCTGCATATTCTGGCATGAAAAAGGCAGGGAAAATATAGAGAACAGCATTTCCTTGGGGTTGCTTACAACCTGGTATACTGTTTGTAGCACAGAATTATAGAATCATAAAACTATACAGTTGGGAGAAACTATAAGTTCACCTAGTCCAAGCCCTTGCCAATGCTGGAAATCTGAGCTACAGCATCCTCAAAAGATACTAATATGCATTATGTTTAACAACCTCCTGTAAAGGCAGGTATTAAAACCCCCCCCATTATTTTGGCATCTGATTTTTCCAGCCTAAATGTACAGTTTTACATAAAATTATATACCTCTTTTGAAATTTATTTAGTTTCAGCCAGGTCTCCATTCTGTTAAGGTCCTCTTGGATTCTGAGCCTGTCCTCTGAGAAATTCTCTACTTCTGCAGTTTTGAGTTTATTTCAAAGCTTGAACTTAAATAATTAAATGAACAAAGTTATATGCAAATATTTATAAGTCATGTAACTAGTATTTACAAAGATACTTTTTAGGCATAATAACAAACTTAAGTTATACAGGCATAAGAAGTAATATTAAGGTGGGATGACACAATGAATGAAATATGAATTCATTCAAATTTCCTTGTTATGAAGTTGCCCCGATGGATGTAGGTTTCATCTAGTCTCTTCACGTTGACTGGCCACGCGGGCAGAGAGGAGGAGAGAGCCAATCTACTGATTTAGAGATTTTGTCAGAAGCATTGTCCTTTTCTGTTCGTTCGTTCGTTCGTTCATTTGTTCGTTCGTTCGTTCATTCATTCATTCATTCATTCATTCATTCATTCATTCATTCATTCATTCATTCATTCATTCATATCCTGCCCATCTAGACCAAAGTCTACTCTGGGTGGCTAACAATAATAGATAAAAACAAAAATAATATAATAAAATAAAAACAACATAGTTCAAATATAGTTCAAGATAGCAAAAAATAATCAAGTGATGACAGGAGGGAAAGCCTGCCTAAAGAGCCAGGTTTTAAGATTGCTCTTAAAAACCACCAGCTCTCTCTGCTGGTTCTTCTATCTTCTAGCTCCATTGTTTTATCATTTAATTCCATTCTCTCTTCTCCTCTTGATAGATTTGCACCATTTCCTTCTAGTAGTATGCTAGTTATATGACTTGGCATGGAGTTAGGAATTCAGTTGGGGACTTGTTAATTAAAGGCCTTTCACTGCTCTAAGCTATACTATGGCACTTCTGCCAATGTAAACATTCATTTGGACTCTGGCTGTCTCTTCTGAAATGTTTAATTCTGTTTAGATATTAATGCCTTTGTTTTTTATTTCAATTGTGCACTTTAAATTATTAGTTTAATTTGTACAGTATCATTTTGTATTATTATAAGTCCCTCCCTTCTCCTTTAATTTGCTTTGAATTGTGTTAGATTGTATGTGTCTTAGGGAAGATATTTCTTATCCCATTTTAACTTTTGATAAAGACTCATATACTGTACTCTATAAACGTATGACGGTTCTGGTGGTGGTGATAACAACAACAACATTTACCTTAAAAGGGCATTTATAGGCCTCTTTGGAAACATTTTAACAAAAACATTTATCAGGTTTTATACAATTATCTTATCAGTTCTAAGTGAGAAGATTTCTTTGTTCTTTTTAAAATTATGTAAGTATTTCTAAAGTGCAACATCAGAATTTGCCAATGGTAGTAATGAGCAAGCATTTCCATCTCTTTTCATGGCCTTCTGGTAATGGCAGTGCAACATATTAATAATGTGCAACACATTAATAATGTGCAACATAAGGAATTCTTTGTGTGATTAGAGCAATGATAATTTATTTTTTATTTTATTTTATACATTCTAAATCTCTTTTCTCCTTTAAAGGATCTAGAGTGGCTTCCATCATTAAAAGACAATATTTAAAGCTAAAAACAGTAAGTATACAAATACTAAAAAGGATCAAACTAAGACTACAAAGGACTTCACCTGCTTGTGGAAGGACAGCAATGATGGGCACAGCCTGGTCTCCTGTGGGAGGGAGTTCCAGAGTCAGGGAGCAGCAACAGAGAAGACCCTCTGCCGTGTCCCCGCCAAGTGCACCTATGAAAGTGGGGGCACCAAGAGAAAGGCCTATCCTGATGATCTTAACACCAGAGTAGGGTGATAATGGGAGACACAATCCTTGAGATAGCTTGGTTCCAAGCTGTTTAGGGCTTTAGAACCAGCACTTTGATTTGTGCCTGGAAACAGATACATAGTCAGTGGATCCGCTATAATGGGGTGGGTGGTGGAGTGGTTATGTGATTCCTGTAACAGATCCAGTTAGCAATCTGGCTGCTGCATTTAGGACCCACTGAGGTTTCTGACACAAACCTGAGGCAGCCCCACATAGTAACAGCAACCTGACGGCTAAGAAGCAATAAGTAATGCAACGAGTTCTTTATAACATGTAACCATCTGAGTTCTATGTCATCAGCAAATTTGATTAGTGGCCCCTTCACTCCTTTATTCAAATCATGTACAAACATATTGAACAACACTTGTTACTCCTTTCCAATATAATGAGAAACCGTTAGTGAGAGCACCCTTTAGGTATGGTCCGAAAATCAGCTACAAAATTGGCCTAAGAAATATAGCTCACTGTAATGCAGAAGCCAAAAAAATTCCAGCATGCACTGGGATTTTTAATCAAAGAACCTGGCCCACACATCTAGCCATAATTTTTAGAATTATTATGTTTTGTGTGTGTGTTTTGTAGCACCCACAGCTCTGCAATGCTCAACCTGATGGAGTTTAACGAGCAGCTGAAAGTTATCCTCAATGTGGATACTTTAGTAGTTTATTGAAAGTAACACCACACCTTTTGTTTTCAGATAGTGTACTCTGTCTTACTCTCTATCTGCCACTGTGTGGGGTGTGTGTGGGGGGGTAAGAAGGCGAGTGTGGCTATGTCAGGAGTCCAAGCACCTGAAAAATGCATTCTGAGTTATGTGAACAATTTCCTTACATCCAGACAACATATGTGCAGCTGAAAATGTGAGAAAGCCAAATTGACATGGACCAGCTTATTGGTGTTCAGTTTATAAACACCTAGATCTGTTCATATGCAAGACATGTGTAGTCTGGGCTTCCACTGTATTTTTGCTTCCTCTTGCCTGTCTCTTTTCTCTCATGAGAGCATTTGCCCATACAATGCTATAAACTGTTTATCTTGACAAGAAATATCTGACTGGTGTCTCAGAGTTAATGGCTTGCAGTTTGTAGCCTTGGTGTCAAATTAAGCTATAGCACGTTTGTTTGTTTTAGACTGATGAGAAGTAGCACTTGCCTTCTCCAACTGGAGTTTTGTGAACTTCATATTGCCTCATGAAAGGGTGGGTGAAAATTAATTCCAAACCAATGAACAAAACATGTCCTGTAGAATGTTATACATGCTGAAGTGTTTTCCCCACCCCTTCTTCTTCCAGGACCTTGTGGACAAATATAGCAACACGAGAAACAATGAATGCCTTTTACATCATTATCATCAGTGACCTTGGTGGAAGGTGTATAAAAAGTCTGGAGTAAGTAGGATCCCCTTACTTGGACCTTAACTTTCCAGGGTAGGTACCAACCTCTCTTACTTCTACAGAATTTATCAGTGCATATATATATTTGTATTCCAAAGTTGGTTTAAAACTTTTCAGTATTGTATTTTATGCTGCTGGATAGAAGGGCTTTTGTTCTGATAGTTGTAAACACCAAGCATTGCTTTACTAGCTTTGAGATGCTGCCAGTAAATGCATGGATCAGAAGCAGGTTTTTCTGCTGAGACCCACACAAAGCCAAAATGCTCATGCATCTGGAAGAACCATTTTTTTTGAGTAGAGATTTGGTTCCTTGTTATGCTGAGGATGGACTGATCATGTGTTATATGCAAGTCAGGTTTTCCATCTTTGCAAATATCTTAGGCAGATTTTCAGTTGCACAGCTTAAATGTCTTGGTGGATCAGTTATCCATGGCATGCTTAAGTCAGAGCTGAGCTGGAGTCCCTTAAGAAATGCACAGCCTAAGACAGTTCTCAGAAGTAACCGCAGAGGGAAAAACATTGGCCAGGATTGTGGAGTATAGCAGTTCACTTTCTCCCCATTCCTTTTTCCTTTTCTGGAAAAAATAATACTTTAATTTATCACTATTTCTTAGAATGTATATCCCCCACCCCACCCGTCTCCAAGGCTATAAGCTCGATTCTGTTTCCATAAATTAGAATCCACTTTCTTCCTGCTTTCATCTGTATGCTATCATTTTTGTCCAATGCCTATTTAACCCACGAAATACTTCCCTTTTTATCAAAGTCACATCACTCATATGGTGAAAACATATTTTTCCCAGGGAAATTTGCAAAATTTCAGTAATGTTTGCCAAGTTCATTCAGAGTTAGGATTAGGCGAATATGGTTTCAGTTTTGCATTTATTTATTTTTTTGCAGTTTTCCAAAGTTTGCAAATACATGTTCATAAGGAATGTTGGTGAAACTGAACCTGACAAAATGTGTCCATCCAGGCTCAGTACTTTGTGTCCTTCCTTAATTCTGATCTGTCTGGTTTTGAGTTCCTGTGTTGATTTGGAACTAAAAATCCGTCTAGTTTTGAGTTCCAAATCAGTCATGTTCATATTGATTTAGATTTGCTACCTCTTTCTCTTGACATGCTCCTCGTCTTCAGCACGCACAGGCCATACGGGCTTAGCAGGTCACCTTTATGCTGGGAATAGCTGTAGCTGCTGAAATTGACTCATGCAGAGGACATGCAGAAGAATTAACCAACATTATCAAGTCACTTGTTTGGGACAGGAAGAGCTGAAAAAAAATTGAAATTATCTGAAAGCAAAATCGACAGGTTTCTCTGTCCTTAATTGGAAGTCTCAATGGATGAAAAAGTCCTAAACAGAACAGCTTGTTATGATGAGTTTAGGTTTGAATGATGTAAAATCATGAATCATTCCACCACAAAGCCTTCATACATTTTTCTAAAAGTAGGTCCCTCTTAACACAGTGGGCCTTCCTTGTGTAGGCTTCTGCTGTCAATCTCTTTGAGACATGATTTTTGACAAGTTTCCTTATTTTTTGACAGTATGGAATTGTGAGCTTCTCATGTGTTTTAGAGTTAAGGAGACTGTCACACAAAGGCGGTGTGACTTTCCTGTCCTCTTGTTCTAACAAGGCTGTCTTGTTGTAGCATGATGAAATGTTTTGTCAGAAATCACATATAAAATTAAGGAGGAATTGCAACAACTGTCCACAAGGCATTGCACACTGCAAAATGGAAGACAGATTGTCTGATTGGACCAGAAAAATATTTTGCTCAAGGGTTTCAGCAGTAAAGTAACATTTTTTTCTCCCAAAACTAGGTACTTATTGCAAGAATTTAGCTCTAGTTTCAAGATTCCAAAACCGCCTTTTCAAATCAGTAGTTGCCACAGTACTTGGAAAAGTTACTTTTTGGACAGCTCCAAGAATACTTCAGCTGACTTGGACTTTAGTCTTTGTCAAAGTACATTTGTTGTTGTACATTAATATTTGCCATAATGTGGAAAAATAATTTATGTTTTTTGTGTTTGAACTACAGCTTCCCTGTACTTCCAGGGAATTCTGAGAGAGGTGATCCAAAAAAGGTCATGTTTCCATGATCCGCTATGGTTGGAGGGTTCTGAAGGAGATTCTGAATCCAGTTTTCTCTTTGAATTTAGAATTTGACTAATATGTCACAAGGAATGACAATCAAATGACAATTTCTTTCCCCTTGTCTTATGGCTCACTTAACCGTGGCTGTCATTTCAAATACAAGGAGCCTGGTGTTTCAGCATTTTCAGAACTGGCATTAAACCCAGCAAATCCACGCATTGTTTTGCATCTAGATGGCCGTTGCTGGCCCATACAAATGAGAAAAGCGAGGTATGGCACATCTCTATAAATGGATTCATATGTTCACTAAACTCCCCAAGGGACTTTCCATCCTCATCCCCACCGCTCCTGCCCCCCTCTCCGGTAAAACAGGAATATAGGAAAACATGCTTGATATCCAGCAGTTATTATTTGGAAATGAAAACATACAATAACCTTGCCCCTTCCTGCCGTAAGTTGTCAAATATTTAAATTATGGAATGAATGAGAACAAATATTGAATGTTTTGTCTAACATGGAGCGGAGAGTAAGCCCTACCAAACACAATAGGCATAGCTCTGAGCAAACAGGCTTTCGACTGCACAGTTAGCATACTGAATACCATAAATTTGTCAGTTCTTAAAGTTCTATGAGGCTCTCTGGAGAGTGCAAAAAACGGTCTGAAACTCAACATCAAAAAACTAAGATCATGGCCACTGGTCCCATCACCTCCTGGGAAATAGAAGGGGAAGATATGGAGGCAGTGACAGATTTTATCTTCCTGGGCTCCATGATCACTGCAGATGGAGGCAGCAGCCACAAAATTAAAAGACGCCTGCTTCTTGGGAGGAAAGCGATGACAAATCTTGACAGCATCTTAAAAAGCAGAGACATCACCTTGCCAACAAAAGTCCGAATAGTCAAAGCTATGGTTTTTCCTGTAGTGATGTATGGAAGTGAGAGCTGGACCATAAAGAAAGCAGACCGCCGAAGAATTGATGCTTTTGAATTGTGGTGCTGGAGGAGGCTCTTGAGAATCCCCTGGACTGCAAGGAGAACAAACCTATCCATTCTGAAGGAAATAAACCCTGAGTGCTCACTGGAAGGACAGATCCTGAAGCTGAGGCTCCAATACTTTGGCCATCTCATGAGAAGAGAAGACTCCTTGGAAAAAACCTTGATGTTAGGAAAGTGCGACGGCAAGAAGAGAAGGGGACGACAGAGGATGAGATGGCTGGACAGTGTCTGCGAAGCAACCAGCATGAATTTGACACAACTCCGGGAGGCAGTGGAAGATAGGAGGGCCTGGTGTGCTCTGGTCCATGGGGTCACGAAGAGTCAGAGACGACTAAACGACCAAACGACAACAACGACGATGAGGCTCTCTATCCTTATGGCAACATTCCAGCTTCTGTATACAAAGGAAACTGGTCGGTCTCCAGGCTTAAAAGTAAGGTACCTCAAAAAGCTAGATGCAGGGGAAGGGTATCAGGAGAAAGGGATCTAGTTGTCTCGTGTGCTTCCAGAGGCATCTGGTGGGGCTACTGTGAGATACAGGAAGCTGGACTAGAGAGGCCCTTGGCCTGATCCAGCAAGCTCTTCTTATGTTCTCCCTACTAGTCTTAGGAGAGATTTGTAGTTTTCCCCAGAACCACATCTCAATTTCCTAATATATTTTTTAATGCTAAGGCAAGTATTTTATATTTTTCACCAGAATTAAATTCTAGTAGATTTCAGGTTCTACTCGGGAAAAGCACAACATATAGTTTGGTGAGCAGTCTTTGCTGAATTCAACCTCAGGTGTTTTTTTTTAATTGAATATTTGAATTATAAGCAAACTCTTCATTGGGTGTAGGCATCCTTCAGTCTCGAGAGACTATGGTAACATGCTCTGAATAGAGGTCTTGGAACAGCGTCTAGTGTGGCTAAGAAGGCCAATTCGAGAGTTACAATCCCTTCCACACCAAGACAAATGCAATCTGTCCCCTGTCCAGCTCCCTGATTTTGCTGGTTTCGGGACTGCCTCTTTGCCTCAGCCTGCTGAGCAAGTGTCTCTTAAAATTGGGAGAGGTCATGATGCACTGCCTGCCTCCAGGCTGAACGCTCAGATGTCAGGGTTTCCCATCTGTTGAAGTCCATCCCTAAGGCCTTCAGATCCTGCTTGCAGATATCCTTGTATCGCAGTTGTGGTCTCCCTCTGGGGCGATTTCCCTGCACTAACTCTCCATACAGGAAATCTTTTGGAGTCTGACTGTCAGCGATTCTCATGGCATGCCGAAGCCAACATAGATGTTACTATTTCAGAGATATATATACATGCTAAAAATTCCAGCTCATTCTAGGACTACTCTATTTGGAACTTTGTCCTGCCAAGTGATACAAAAATGCATCAGAGACAATGCATATGGAACGCCATTGATTACTGAGCTGTGAGAGCAAATACTTTTCAATTTGTATACAAATCCACTTCTTGCTATGGTTTGTGGATTTTTGTTGCCAATTCTGCCTCCGTATGAGGAAGCCACTACCAAATTAAATTAAAATTTCAAGGGTAGATGCACAAGATGGACAAAGGACCAGCTTGGTGTTTGTTTGCTTGTTTATGTTATTTAGATGCCACCTTTCCCGCACTGGTTACCCAAGGTGGCTCACATACAAATAAAATTATACAATAGCCACACTTAAGAACACTATAGAAAATGATACCCGAAAACATTTAAATATGCTTGATCTCCATCAAAGATATATATTATTTAGAAAAAGAAAACATACAACAGCCTTCCCTCTTCTGCCCCTGAGTTTTTAGGTGTTATTGTATGTTAGGGCATAATCTACAAATTCTGCAGTTTTCAAGTCCTTACTTGAGTTTCGATTGGTTTTGATTGATGTTCTGAGTTGACTTGGCTGTTTCATTATTAATCAGAATGGCTGGATATATATATGATTTTAATACATACATTTTTCTGCATGCATAAATACTGAGTTCTCATACCTTAAAGGTCAAATTACCCCAAATGAATTAGCACAGTATTTAGAAGTACAGTTTTTTAAGCAGCAAAAGATGTCTACTGGTTCCGATGCAACTTTTCCTCCCCTCCACAACTTGCAAATTAGCTTTCTTTCTTTTTGTGATTGGTTATTGGTGTTAGAATAGGTACAATAATTCTGTGTTTAAAGCCACCAGTGGGAAGTGTTGGACAGATAAACTAGACAGATGTGATTGGGCATCTTGGCCTTTCTTGGTTTTCTGTGATTGCCCACTTGTAGACTGTTGCCCTGACATAAGAGTCTAGAAATTGATAGTACACATCTGTGAGAAATGATTCCTGTCCTCTTGATGTGATGGTCTCAAACATCCTCGTAGCATGGTTTGGAATTTTTACACCACATACTTAAGACCAAAAGGCTGCCAATTAAGACCAAAAGGCTGGCACTCTGTGATTGTTCTCTCTCTCCCCACCCCCCATCATCTGCTTGAAATACCACAGATTCCTGTGACTGGGAGGTAAACACAAGCTTCATATACAAGTCTGATTGTTCAAACTGCTCCAAAGGAATTAGGTTCCCTCAGTGCTTTCTAAATATGAGTTGAGACTCTAATGTATTTCGGGCATCATGAATTAAAGAAAGGGCTTCCGTGTCATATGTTTGTTTGGAGACTGTTTCAAATCTCTTCCCATTCCCATTCACTCTTCCTTAGACATTAAATAGTGGGTATATCAAGCACAGGTAGGAAAACTTAATTTAAAAAAAATATAAATCATTTAGTTTCTGATGTGGCCTAGCTGTGGATATCTAAAAGTTAGCATGGCTGCTGGCCATGTTGGCCAGAAGAGATTCTGGGAGCTATAATTTGAAAAATATTTATTTATTTATTTATTTATTTGATTTATACCCCACCCATCTGGCCTATACTGCTTTCAAGTTCTGGATTTAATATCGTGATATCAGCCTTTGTTTGCTTGAACTACCATATTAGACCATTGTCTATCTAACCTAGCACAGTCAGCTCTGGCTGGTAGCAGGTTTCAAAAGATTTAGAAAAGATTATTTCCTGAGCCTATCCAGAAATTGCAAGGATTGAACTTGGAACCTTCTACATGCAAAGCCTGTGTTCAGCTACACAGTTATGGTCCTTCCTCAGTACAGAACCCTGTATTTACAGGTGATTTCCCATCCAAATACTGTACCACCCAGGACTGATTGTCCTTAGTTTCTGAAATCAGATGAGTTTGATTTTGCCAAGGTGGCATAGGCATCCCCTGGTAGTGTCTTATCTGTCGTGTAAATGACAATAATACCTGATGACTGTTTAGCTGTGATTTCTCGCTGCAAGAAAAGTTCCTAGTTGAAATCCTTTGTAGGATTTGGGAGGGTATGCATATTTCCCAAGTTTAATCCTCCTTGGAAATGCATGTTATGTTGAAGGTCCTTATACCTCTGCTTATGAACTATTTTATATTTTCTCATTTTGTTACTTCAGGCCAGATTGCTTTATTTCTCTTTTGGGAATACACTCTTCAGCTCATCTGCCAAGATGATGGACATGTCGGAATTCGGGGAAGCTGCACCCTTCCTGCGCAAAAGTGAGAAGGAGATTATGATGCTGCAGACTGTAGCCTTTGATGGTAAGATCTCATGTCTCTAATTCTCCTAGTGATCAATTAGCATGAAGAGGTGAATCTGGCACATAGGTGAATGAAAGAAATTAGATAGTGTGTTATAATGGGCAATGATATAATGACAAATTCTGAAATGACACTTTCATGTCTACATTCTCAAGGAAGGTCAGTACTGTCTCATGACACTTTCATGTCTACATTCTCAAGGAGGGTCAATACTGTCTCCGTCATCATTTAGTTGTTTAGTCGTTTCCGACTATTTGAGACCCCATGGACCAGAGCACGCCAGGCCCTCCTGTCTTCCACTGCCTCCCGTAGTTGTGTCAAGTTCATTCTGGTAGCTTCGATGACACTGTCCAACCATCTCATACTCTGTCGTCCCCTTCTCCTCTTGCCTTCACACTTTCCTAACATCAAGGTCTTTTCCAAGGAGTCTTCTCTTCTCATGAGATGGCCAAAGTATTGGAGCCTCGGCTTCAGGATCTGTCCTTCCAGTGAGCATTTAGGGTTGATTTCCTTTAGAATTGATAGGTTTGTTCTCCTTGCAGTCCAGGGGACTCTCAAGAGCCTCCTCCAGCACCACAATTCAAAAGCATCAATTCTTCGACGGTCAGCTTTCTTTATGGTACAGCTCTCACTTCCATACATCACTACAGGGAAAACCATAGCTTTGACTATGCGGACTTTCATTGGCAAGGTGATGTCTTTGCTTTTTAGGATGCTGTCAAGATTTGTCATCGCTTTCCTCC